CAAAGATGAGGAGGAGGATAGGATCACAAGACAGACTTCATTTCCCAAAATGGATTAAAAAAAACAGAACTCCATCACGCTTGTCTTATCTACCAGGCTTCAAATTCCTTGCCTTTTCATTTAATGCCCTCCAGCTATGGTTTTACTACCTAGCCTAATGACTGGGAGCAGTCTCCAGCTAATCTACTAACTATTCTCAGCAAGTATTCTTTAAAGCCCCTTCTGCTCCAGACCCCAGGAACTGCCTTTTGGCATGCTAATCTTCTATGGTTCTTTCTACAAAACCTCACAGGAATCATTCATCTTATCTTGCTTCAGTTTCCTCTTCTGTCAAAAAAAGAGGATGGATTAGTCAGGGGTTCTTTAGGTTTTTTGTGTCATGAACCCCATTAGCAGTCTGGTGAAGCCCATGGATCCCTTATCAGAATCATGTTTTATTGACTGCTGTGCATTTAAATTTGAAGGAAATGTTAAATTTCAGTTAGAGGTTAGTGAAAATAGAGATGCAATTTTTTTTCTGATTTAAGGTCTAAAATTTCTTGAAACCCATCCATGGACCCTCCCTGAACCCCAGGTCAAGAATTCCTAGTAGATGGCAGATGGGCATCTCTACACAGACAGATCTTCGATCTGTTTGTCCCATTCTAACCTCTCTACTAACCTCATCTCGAATCTCCAACTGTCTATCAGATAGCTTGAACTGGATGTCCTATAGAGTTAACTCAACATGTCCAAAATTGAACTCATCTTTTTCGCCAAACCCTCCCCATTTCCTAACTTTCTTTTGGGGTTGGTTTTTTTTTGGAGGCAATCAGGGGTTAAGCAACTTGCCTAGGGTCACACAGCTAGTAAGTGTCTGAGGCTGGATTTGAACTCAGGTCCTCCTGACTCCAGGGCTGGTGCTCTATCCACTGCACCACCTAGCTGCCCTCTATTCTTCTTGTTACTACTGAGGACACCACCATCTTCCCAGTAACCCTGGCTGGCACCTAGATGTCATCCTCCACTCCTCCCTCGAGCACTTCCCGTATCTAATCAGTGGCCAAGTCTTGTTATTTCTATCTTTGTAATATCTCTCGTAGAGGAAGTCTCTCCCAACTGCCTTTCTTGTGTTAATTATCTCAAATTTATCCCCTATACAGCTTACACGTACATAGTTACGTAGTCATTTTGCATGTTGTTATCCCCATTAGCCTGTGGGATCCCTGAAAGTCGAGACTGGTTTTTGCCTTTCTTTATATTTCCATGGCTCAGCACAGTGCCTGGTACATAGAAGGCATTTAATAAATACTAATTGACTGACAATTTAGAGAATGACTCATCTCTAAGGTGTATTTCAACTCTGACATTCTATAACATTCTATGACTCCCTTATCTACCTCCCAGAAGATCTACTTCTTCATCAATCCATTTATTGGCATGCAAAGACAAAACAGAAAATCTTCCTTGCCCTCTAAAAGTTCGTGGTGTATTAGAGATGTAGGAGAGGAACAGTACACAGACAGAGATGTGGGATAGGAACATGTGTACAGATGTGTACCAAGACCAGATGTATGATTTCTCTGAGACAGGGAATCTTAGCCTTAGGAGAGTTACCTAAGAGTGATAAGAGAGTAAGGCAATTGTCCGGGATCACAAAACAGTGTATGTCAGAGAAGGGATTTGAACCCAGGTTTTCCTGGCTCTGAGGTCAATTTGCCATCCATAACACTAATCACTGTGCCTCTCATAGATAAAGGATATGAACAGGCAGTTTTCAGATGAAGAAACTAAAGCTATCTATAGTCATATGAAAAAATACTCTAGATTACTATTGATTAGAGAAATGCAAATCAAAACAACTCTGAGGTACCACATCACACCTATCAGAGTAGCTAACATGACAAAACAGGAAAATGATAAATGTTGGAGAAAATGTGGGAAAATTGGACCATTAATGCATTGTTGGTGGAGTCGTGAACTAATCCAACCATTCTGGAGACCAATTTGGAACTATACCCAAAAGGCTATAAAACTGTGCATACCCTTTGATCCAGCAATACCACTTCTAGGGCTGTATCCCAAAGGGATCTTAAAAATGGGAAAAGGGCCCATTTTTCTACATTCATATAGAAAATATTTATGTACAAAACATTTATAGCAGCTCTTTTTGTGGTGGCCAAGAATTGGACATTGAGGGGATGCCCATCAATTGGGGAATGGCTGAACAAGTTGTGGTATATGAACGTAATGGAATATTATTGTTCCATAAGAAATGATGAGCAAGAAAAACCTGGAAAGACTTACATCAACTGACATTGAGTGAAGTGAGCAGAACCAGGAGAATATTGTACACAGTAACAGCAACATTGTGTGATGACTAACTTTGATAGACTTATCTCTTCTTAGCAATGCAAGGATCTAAGACAACTCCAAAAGACTCATGATGGAAAATGCTATCCACATCCAGAGAAAGAACTATGGCATCTGAATACAGATCAAAGCATACTATTCGCTCTCTTTTTTGTTGTCATTTCTTCTTTCTCGTGGCTACTCCCATTGGTTCTAAATCTTTTTTACAACATGATTAATGTGAAAATGTTTAATATGAATGTATATGTAGAGACTATATCAGATTGGACACCGTCTTGGGGTGAGGGGAAGGCAGGGAGGGGGGAAAATTTGGAACTCAAAGTCTTATGGAAGTGAATGTTGAAAATGAAAAATAAATTAATATTTTTTAAAGTATGCACATTATAATTTGAGGAGAGACCATCACAGCAGCTGGTGCTTGTCCATGAGGTTCCCTCAAAGAATAGAAGTTTGGGCAATCTTGATCATGTTGATAAGAGTCCTTAATTACTGGAATTACAACTAAACACTATGAATCTCACTTTTTTGGACAGTCATTTCCTTATCCAGTTTATAGGTGACCCAACTCACTCTTACAGTAAAAGAATAGTAGAGCTATATTGGCCCTGTATTGGAAGTCACAGCATCATAGATTCAGGTTGGAAGAGGTTTTTGGAGAGCATTTAGTCCAACTCTCTCATTTTACAGATGAAGAAACTGAGGTACAGAGAGGTTAAGTAATCTTGTTACATAGGTAACAAATGTCAGGGGTGGGACATGAATTCTGGTTCTCTGACTCCCAACAAACCAAGAAAAAAAAAACGTTAGACCTGAAAGTAATGTTGGTAACTTTCTAGTCTAGACTTTTTCATTTTATAGAAAAAGAAAATGAGACCTAGGGAAATAAAATGTTCCACACAAAGTCAAACAGCAGGTTAGCAGTAGGACTGAGACTAGAACCCAAGTGTCCTAGGGGACAGTTATGGTGCTGCCCTTTCCCTGCACCTCTTTTGAGCTGGTAGACATGGAGGCTCCCAAGAAGGGAAGTTGATTAGTTCACAGGCAAATCCTCAGGTTGAAGCCAACCCCTCCCAGCTGCAAGAAGGGATCTCCTGAATCCAGTTCCCAAGGGGTCTGGATAGAAGAGTCAACAGACTTTAGTTCTCATCTGTCATTCATGAGCATCCATTTTATTGAGTGATTTCTACAAGTTCAACACAAAAAATGAAAGCAAAACTACCCAGCAGCAAGAAGCGCAAGTGAGCAACATCCGGTGAGTGAGGTTCAACATATCTGGAGAAATAAGGGCCCAGTTGTGAATCAATATGGGCTTGGTTATGTTGGCACTCAGACCTTACGTGTGGATGCCACAGGTATGATGCTTGTGGACTGTGGGGTGATTTCCAGGCACCTCCCCCCCAAATTCTTCCATTAACTGGCTAAAGACTGAAATTTCATGTCAGATTTTCATTTTCTTAGTTTAAGGATCTGATCTCTTTTAAAATGAGATGTCCCTGGATCGTCTGATAGCGATCATTTACACTGTAGCTAAAGTGAGTTTTGGATATTTCCTGAGAGTACATTTTGACAGGGGGCCCAAACAAAATAAGAGAGATCTAAGTATCTAATTGAGAAGTAATAGAAAGGGGCCACCATCCAATTCAACATTACAGTTTTCCCATGACTGACTGGCCTTATCACCACAAGTTGATCCTCCTTATCCTGAGTTTCAGAAAGCCAGAAATAGATGTCTCTGAAGTGAGGATCTTAGGAACTCAGACCAATAAGGGTCTCATCTGAGCTTGAAAGGCATCCCTTAGCTCTGTGTATGCTGAAATCCAGCCTTCCTTCCCTGATCCCTAGCTCCCCAATAGGAATCTGAGTAACTTGTTAGTTTGTATTACATGGATGACCATAAAGGACCTTCCCTTTCTCCTTCCCTCTCCCCAACCAAAGGCCTCCCCTAGCCTCAACAATGAACCACCCTGCAAGTTCCCATCACCTCAAAACGTGACGTCCCCACTGGAACACCAGGACACTAACGGCCTTTGGGTACATTGAAAAAGGCACCAAAATTGCCTTTATCTCCCAGAATCAGGTCTTAGTTTTGACAACTCAGCCTAAGGCCAAGACTTTAAAGAGATGAATTCCATCTCTGTACAGTTTGGTACAGAACCAGTTCCGTCCCCCAGCCAGTGAGTGGGGAGCTAAGGAAATGCCTTCTTCCCCCCCGCCCAAGGGCAGAAAACAGGCTCTAAGCAGACCTGGGAATGTGGACTCTCCCACAAAATGGCAATAAATATTGGGACATCAACATCTTCCAGTTTCAATTCTGAAGGCTCAATGCCTGAGAAGTACCCACCCCCACCCCTCACACCAACTGATCCTTTGTCATTTGCCAAATAGATCTCAGGAAAGGGGGGGAGGGGTCCTGAATGTTCCTGAATTGCATCAATTGTTTTAGAACAGTATCTCATAGTTTTAAAATTGGAAAGGACCTCACAGGCTGTCTAATCTAGCCTTTTCAATTTAAAGAGAAAGAAACTGAGACCCAGGAAGGCTAAATGACTGATGAGATTATAAATCTGAAAATAAAGGCCATCTAGTCCAACCTCCCCATCATACAGATGGGAAAACTGAGGCCCAGGAAGGCTAAGTGACTTACAGGATAATAGATTATGAGCTGGAAGAGACCTTAGAGGTCATCTAGTCCAATTCCTTTCATATTACAGAGAAAGAAACTGATGGCCAGAGAGATGATTTGACTCTGCCTTCTATACCTTCACCTAGATTTCTGAGCAGACACAAGGTCTTCAGAAGCTTAGCTTTAAGATACATATTCAGGGTGACCGGGGAGAACAGATTCCTCTCCTCCTAACATTCAAGCAGAGCAGGCAAAGATGGGTCATGCCCATGACTGCAGATGCCTTGCCTGTCTTGATAAATTGCTTGTTTTAGTGGTTTTGAATAAGGTTTTTCAACTGAGCCTATAATTTCATTGATATCGATTACTTAGCAGAGTCATGGACACATAGTAGGTGCTTAATGAATGTTTGTTCCCTTCCCTCTTTCACTGGTATAAGGAATTCCCTCTCCCAAAGTAGGTTGGAAAATGTTTTGGAATTTCTAATCTTAGAGAGCTGCCAGAGAGGAGGTTGGGAGAGGGGGGACTGAGATATTAAATGATTTGCCCAAAGTCACTCCTCCAGCATGCCAGAGGTGGGACTTGAACCCAATTTTTCCTAGCTCCAAAACCAACTCTCTAGCCATTTTTCTAGGACCAATTCTCCATTTTATGCCCTTGAGACCTCAAGGTCTTCAAGTTTCAATTCTGAGTCCTCTAAGGCTCACTGACTGAGAAGTACCCATCCACATGCCTCTGGCCATCTTATTCTTTTGTTATTTGCCAAACACATCTCTGGACAGAAAGGGGCCCCTCTCATATTTCCAGGATTATATGTTATAATTAATATAACTCAGTTAACTAGACCTAGAAAAAACCAAATTGTTCAGACCACCAGACTACTGCCAAGGTATGACTATTCAGTTGGTAGCAGTATATCCAATGTGTAGGCATGGAGCCCAAGAGGAGTGTTCAAGCTCTAAAAGTGACGGCCAATGTCAGATACTGGAATCTCTATGACACGTTGTCACTGTAGCTGAGACGCCAGTGGGTCATGCTGCCCTATTTATCTATGCACAAATGACTTCACTTGGGAGCTGAGCAAGCCAACTAATCCTACAGAAAATAAAGACTGAAGATTCACCGGAGTGATGGAGGTCTGCCCCCTTGTGGCCAACTAACCACGGCTAGATGGCAGACTGCTCTTGCAGGAAGCCCTCCGCACCTGGGAGGCCCCTCTCTGGCTCAGAGGCCAAGGCTGCTTCCCGGAGGACTTCCATGTGCTCCTCAGCTGCTGACAGTGACTGGTCGATCCAATCCAGACCTCCAGTCAGGTGGCAGGCATTCCTGGTCACCAGCACCAGGTGACTGACAGATAGAAGGAGGGCGGTTGTGCTGGAAAAAAACCAACAGGATCAGGTTACCCTACTAAGAGAGGGGAGATTATTATTGCTGCTGCTGCTGTTGTTAATATTAGCTAGTACTGATATTGAGCCTTAAGGTTTACAAAGTGTTTCATATACATTAACTTAATGAGTCTCCACAACAACCCTGGGAGGTAAGTGCTATTATTATCCCCATTTTATAGGTAAGGAAATTGAGGCAGACAGAGATGAAGTGACTTGCCCGGGGTCACCTGGTAAGTAAATGTCTGAGGAGGGATTTGAATGCAGATCTTTCTGACTTCAATTCAATACCCAAATCCATGGGACCACCTTGCTGCCTTGACTTGTCCAGCCTGGGATTTGAACCTAGGTCCTTTAACTCTGAACCTGGTACTGTATCCTGAAGATCCATCAACAAGTGAAGATGAAGTATCTCTGAAGAGGTCATGATAAGTCAATGTGGAAAAAATTAGAATTTAATGATTTAAAAATCAATTTATACATTTACAGAAGGATGAAAGCTAGGCACATGTTGCATGCTTCCACCTGGAATCAGCCATAAGTGAAGCCTAGGGGATGCCAGAATGGGGAACAGCCTAGCTTTGGGCCTTATGGTGGGCAATTAGGTGGTACAGTGGATACAGTGCCAAAGCTGGAGTCAGAAAAACTCATCTTCATGAGTTCAAATCTGGCCTCAGACACTTACTAGCTGTGTGACCCTGGGCAAGTCACTTAACCTTGTTTGCCTCAGTTTCCTCATCTGTAAAATGAGCTGGAGAAGGAAATTGTAAACCACTTCAGTATCTTTACCAAGAAAACCCCAAATGGGGTCATGAAGAGTCAGACGTGACTGAAATGACTGAACAATGACAGCGGTGGGTGTGGGAGAGGACAAACATGGGAGAAACAGTTACTACCACCATTTGGTGTTGACCTGGTCAAATTCTAGTCCCGGTCCAAAAGGGAAGAAGTGTGGTACAGTGGAATGAGCACTAAACTTGGAGTTACCAGATCTGAGTTTGACTTACTGCCTGTGTGACCTTGGGCAAGTCAACCTCTCTGGGTCTCAGTTTTCCCATCTCTAAAATGAAGAGGTTAGACTTGATGCCCTCTGAGATCAATCCCAGCTGTAAAGCTATCATCCTATGATCATATGCCAAAGACTGTCAACTGGAGAACAGCCAGAACCAAGGGAGGCAAGCCTTTAGAGTCTGTGGAATGGCCAATGAAGTTCAATCAATCAATCAATAAACATTTATTAATTAATAAACAACCCAAGACTGTGCTAAGTCCTGGGTTGATGAAGGATTGGAGTGTTTGGGGGTAAGGACGTGATCTAGCACAAGCCTATTTTTAGAGATTGAATCCTAAAACCTAAGACAGGCTCTGTTTACTTCCAAGGACCTTAGAATGGTATTATCTCACCCTTAGGGGTGAACGAGATGACTGGTTAGCCCCTAGGAGGTTTGGAACATGCACGAGCCCCAAACTTAATAAATGCTACTCCAAATTTCAAAAACCAACTGTAGCCCCACGGGATCCAGGTAGAGCCTTAGGAATGTAACAAGATGTCATTCCTGTTGTTGGGACATTGACTGAAGGAGCTCCCTCGTGACTCAAGACCAAGAACATGACAACTTTAGGGTCTCACTACCTCCCATGGAGAGACCCAGGCCCTAGGAAGAACAGAGGTTACTATATGACTGATCAGTCAACTGCTTGATTACAGGGTAGTTGACTCATTGGCTCACTCACTGCCCAACTTCCTGAGTGTGTATTTCACACCCCCCTCCACCTTTGGCAAATGGCCCAGGTCGTGATGTGTCTCCTCACCGGGCATCCAGAAGCTTAGGGTCCAGTGGAGGGTACATTGATCTCACAACGTCATCCACTCTGCGAAGAGAAAAACATTTTGTAAACTTTTATAAAGTAAACATTTTGTAAATGTTTGGTAAACTCGCCATTAACTTTGAAGTTCAATCAACAAGCATTCATCAAATACCTGCTATGGGTCAGGCACTGTGCAAGGCATGAGTGCTACAAAGACAAAAACCAACAGTATCTTGCCCTCAAGGTGCTTACAATCTATTACAGATAACAGCATGCACATACATAGATAGATAAATAGATAGAGAGAGAGATAGATATGATAAAAAATACATACAAAGTCATTTCAGAGGAGGCTTATCTGTAAAATGGGATAATAATAGCACCTATGTCCCAAGGTTATTATGAGGATGAAATGAGATCATGTTTATATGAAACACGGTATAAATGGCAGCTTTTATGATGATGATCATTCTATCCTTCCCAAGCACCTAGCACATTGCTGAGGCAGAGCTAGCCAAAGGGAAGGGCATTGAGTTTGGCAGCAAAAAGACCTGGGTTCAAGTCCTAGCCCTCACCCTCACTATCGGTGTGACCCTGGGCAAGTCACTTCACCACTTATGCTTCAGTGTTCTAATGCATAAAATGAGGTTAGAATAGACAGCATCTGAAATCTCTCCCAACTTTCAATCTACAGTTCCATAGCGTTACCTTATATTTCTTTTTCTTTGCAGGGCATAGGAAGGTGAAGTGACCCAGACCCAAGGTTTTAGCAGCAAAAAGAGCTCCCAATGTGGAAACTCCCTTCACTATTCCAACTATCCACAAGGCCAAGGTCACCTCTGACACTTACGATCTGTGTGACCCTGGGCAAAACAACCTCTCTGAGCCTCAGTTTCTTCATTTATAAAACAAGGGGATATTTGGCCCAGGGAAATAAAGGGTTTTGCATCAGAAAAAGAATTTGAACTGGGTCCTCTGACTCTTTCCAATTCATTACCTTTTCCCCTTCTTCTTATTGCTCAATCCCTCACTCTTTTATATTTTAGCTCTTGGGACTCTGCTACGTGCCATTTACTGAAAGGCCTCCAAGGTCCTTTCTGCTATAAATCTGTGCTCCTATGACTTTGTACTTAGTAAGTGCTTAATCATATGTAAAATTTGAAGGAAGCTTAGAGATCACCAACTCCAACTCCCTCATTAACCACAGGGAGAAACTGAGGTCCAGAGAAATAAGATGACTGACCCTAGGTAATTGTAAGTAAAAAAGCAAAAGCTAGGATTTGAACCTAGGTCTTCTGAATCCAAAGCCAATATCCTTTTCAACATACCACTAATTCAAGAAATGTCTTTGGGGGTTCTGTTGGAGGCATGTTCACAAGATCAGAGGCTACTCCTATAAAGGGAAGTATCTGCTAAGGTACACTTCAAATACTATTTCAGTGTCCTGGTTTTGCTTTGGTTTGAACTTTGACCTGAGCCACTGATGTCCTACTTGGATGCCTCCCCATTGGTAGCCAGGCCACCCTGGTCCTCTGCTCTGAAACTACGCCAGCTCTGGATGGTCCTATTCTGCCAAGGAGCTTTGAGTATTGGTCAGTGACCTTTGGATTGTGTGCCTGTCAACCAAAAAGCAGCCTAACAGTGTTGAGGGGGGTCATCACCAGGCTCCAACAAACTTGCAGTTGGAGAGAACACAGTATGGTGGAAAGAGTATCAGATGTGGAGCCAGAGGGTCTGGGTTCAAATTCTGGTTCCGTTATTTGATAGCTATGCAACCTCTGACCCATCACCTCACTGTTCTGGGCCTCAGTTTCCTTATATGTAAAATAAGGGAAGGAAGAGGTAGACTCCATGGCCTCTGAGGGCCCTCCCAACTATAAACAGACAACCCCAGCTCTGCTAATTACTTCCTGTATATCCTTGGCAAGTGAGAAGTTGGGCTAGATGACCTTTAAGGCCCCTTCAAGCTCTAAATACATGAACCTAGGAATCTGAATGGGTCTCAGTTTACTCAAATGTAAAATGAAGAGGAGGGGTGGACTAGGCAAGCTGTAAAGTTCATTTCTAAATCAATGATCCACAAAGTCAGGAACTTTTTGACCCCAGCACCTCTTAGGCATGGAAGTGCTGCATTCTGCACTAATGGAGAGAAGGTGATGAAAGCCCAAATCCCAGGATCATCAGATTTACCTTGAAGGCAAAAGGAAAAGGGGACAGTAGAGAATGAGATGGATGGATAGTGTCATGGTAGCAACGAACATGAGTGAAGATGGACTTCGGGAGACAGTGGAGGATAGAAGGGCCTGGCATGCTGAGATCCATGCGGTCATGAAGAGTCAGACGTGACTGAACAACAAAAAGGACCATCCATCTAGAGGTGGCAGGCACCTTAGAACTCATTTAATCCAAACACACCCTATTCTACATTTAAGGAAACTGAGGCCCCAGGAGCAGCTAAGTGGCTTGACCAACATCACATGAGTAGTAAACACGGAGTGGGGAGATTTAGGCCCATTTAGATCCTCTGATTCGACGGGCATTTCTCTTTTCACTGTACCAGGCTTCAATACAAGTTAAATCCTCTTTCAAATCATTTGATGGTTCTTGGAGTTCAGATGGTGGGCTCAATTTAAAAATGAAATGGGTTCGATAAATGCATGCTGTCCATTCTGACTTTGGGGCATGGTTTAACTCTAGGCCCTGCTCCCAGTCACCTTGACGCCTAGTCAGAAAGGAAGCAGGAAAGATTTATTGTTCAATTTCCAAGAAGTGTTTGAGGAAGAATTCCACTCAAATGTTTTCCAGGAGCTACTGAGCTGGCGAGTAAGAAAGCCCTCAAGCCAGCCTGCTGGGACTGTCCTCTGAGAACATTAGAAGTGAGGACAGTCAGCCCCTCACTTTCTCTGCGTGCTTTCAAATCTGACTCCACTCTGCCTGGATCTGACAAAAGAGAAACACAGTCCTTGGAGTACAAGCAGAAATAAGGGAGGTGAAGAAGAAGGGGGAAGGGATTGGTGAAGAAGAAAGAGTCAGATGATGTCAGTTCAAAACCTTGCCCTGACGCTTACAGACTATGTGACCTGGGGCAAGTCACTTTCTTTCCGTGTGCCTCAGTTTCCCCATTTGTAAAATGAAGGTAGTTGGACTAGACAGCTTTCGAGGTCCTTTCCAGCTCTCGCTCTCTGTTCACTTCCCTGGGCCTCAGTTTCCTCAACTGTAAAATGAAGGCAATTGGATTAGATGGTCCGTGACGTCCCTTTCATCTCCAGAGTTATAAGTATATGAATGAAGGCAGGAAAAGAGATACAGGGGACTTCCCATTGTATCCTCCGCCTTTCTTAAGGGAATGAGAGGAGATCGAGGGAGCAGCAGCCAACCTCTGAGCTCTTCACTAACCCAGCCCCAGCTTTAAGCACCACAGACATCCCCCAGCATAGTGTGCATCCTTAGAATTACTCCTCTCCATCCCTCAGCTAACCTAACCCCAAATTCCAAGGTGGTGTAATGAATGAAAACTTTGACCTGGAGGCAGGAAGACTTGAATTCAAATCCACCCTCAGATACTTACTGGCTGAATGACCCTGCACAAGTCACTTAACCTTTGTCTGCCTCCTCTCCTCATCTGGAAAATGAGGATAATAACAGCAGTGACTTCCCAGGGCTATTGTGAGGAGAAAATGAGATGACATTGTAAAGTGCTTTGTAAACCCTAAAGCACTATATAGATGCTATTATTGGCTCCTATTATTATCTGCCAATGGATTGGTATTAGGGAAACTTGCCTGGCCTGCTTAAGCAGAGCTAGGGTGGGGGTTGGGAGGGTCATCTATCTCGGAGAAGAAGCGTCACTAAGAAATAAGTGAGCAGTGTCTAGATTGTACAAAGCCGGGTCTCCAGGGTCAGGGGTGAAAGGACAAAGATGGGGTTGGAGTAAATCAACTATTACTTCCCTTCCAGCTTGGAATCCCATGGTTGACTTTGTCTGCACCTTAGAGTTAGGGTGAAGGGTCCATCTAGGCAGGTGTAGGTGGGAGATTTATACTCCTAGTCAAAGGGCTACACTTGAGGACCTAGAGGGCCACATGCGGCCTCGAGACTGCAGGTTTCCTACCTCTGCTTACACCCACAAGCAACACCAAAAGGGGAGGCAAAAGTGTCTGGCTCATCTCTGCTTTTTCCCTTTCCTTCTTAGAGTCACTAGGCCCTTACTTGGCATCTCTATGGTCACCTCCCCTCCCCAAGCTCCTACAAGACAGTCAGGCTAATTCTATTATATTCCTCCCACAGGACTACTTACCGTAGTCTCAGTCAATGTTGCTGACTGCTTGAAAACTTGGTCATCATGAGTTAGTCAGTCTTCCTGACACCAAATCTCTCAACTGTATTATCCAATCTCTCAAGGGCAAGAAGATTAAACGAACTTCTGGAGCTCACACAGAATGCTGAAATACAGAATTCTGCCTCTTTTCCAGGAGCTGGGGCTTCCCTACCTCTGGGAAAGTAGAAAGCAGAGAGGCCAGAAGCCTTAGAGGATAGAGAGGTGGTCTCAGGGCCAGAAAGATTTCTGAGTTGGAGTCACCCCATGTCACATACTGGTTGTTGTGAGCCTGGGTAAGATGACTTAACTTCTCAGTGCCCCAGCAACTCTGTAAGATTCAATCAATCCATTAATCGATAGAGAAACCTTTATTAAGCACCTACTATGTCCCAGGCACTAAGTGCCAGGGATACAAAAAGAAGCAAAAGACAGTCCCTGCCCTCACTGAGCTTACAATCTATTGGGGGAGATAACCAATACAGACCAATGTATACAAAATATAGACAAAGCCAACTATAGACAGGACAAATAGGAAACAATTAGCAGATTCAAATCAACTACAAAAAAACTAATGAAGGAAGATGCTGCTCACCTCCAGAGAAAGAACTGATATATAGAACTATGTATTGTATAGTTTCACATATGTGTGTGCGCACATGTATCTGTCTATATATCTGTGTGAAATGTTGGCCTTCTCCAGTTCGGGATTGGGAAGAAGGAAGAGAAACAGCTTGGAAATTAAATGTAACCAAAAATATATATTTACATTTTTTAAAAGAAAATCCTAACATATATGCCAAAAAAATAATTAACAGATGGAAGGCACTGGGATTAAGAGGGGTTGGGGAAGGCTTCCCGTAGGAGGCAAGATTTTAGTTGGGACTTAAAGGAAGCCAGGGAGGTCAGTAGTCAGCAGAGAAGGGAGAGTGTTCCAGGCATGGTGGACAGAACTGAGAGATGGAGGGTCTTGTTCATGGCCAGGAGGCCAGTGTCACTTGGATCGAAGAATACATGTTGGGGAGTAACGTGTAAAAAGATTGGAAAGGGGGCCTCAGACACTTGACACTTACTAACTCTGTGACCCTGAGCAAGTCACTTAACCCCGATTGCCTCACCAAAAAACAAAAAAAAAAAATGAAAAGTAGAAGGGGGCCAAGTTATAAGGGGCAAACAGAGATTCTAAGTAGCAAAGCAGTTGTTTGTCTGCATTGGGGGTTTCTCACTGGAACTTCCTTCCACACATGAAAGCACAGGCCATGCACCACCACCAAAACAGAACAGAACAAGCCAGGCATTTCATGGCTCAAGCACATTCACAAGGTGACCACTAGGTGGCAGTACCACCATAGACTTCCAGACTGTGGAAAAAGCTGGCTTCATTTTTTGTCAAAATATCAAGGGCAAATCAGGGGCATTATTGGTAACTGAGCTTAAATTGGCATCTGGCACATGGAATTCCTGTTACATTGGGACTATACTCGTCCTTCCCCACCCCGAATGAGGGAACAGACAAAGTATCATGGGAAGTTGATCCATACTCAGAGAATCTAGGTTCAAATCCCATCGCCGCCACTTGAAAGATCTGGGATAAATCATTTAGCCTCTCTGTGCCTCAGTTTCCTAAACTGAAAAATGAAAGGGTTATACTAGATGACCTTCCAGCTTAAAGCAAGCAGCAGAGATCATAGATTCAGAGCAAGAAGAGAACCCAGAAGTGATTCAGTCTAATCCCCTCACTGGACTGGGGAGGAAATTGAGGCCCAGGGAGGTCAAGTCACCCCATAGGTTAACAAATGCAGAGCTAGGAAAAGATTTCTCATATATTGGTATCTGGTGTTGGACCTCGAGGCTGCAGGTTCCCTACCTCTGCCTCTGTCCCACCCATTCATTTTCATCTCCTTGAAAGTCAGGGGCAGAGAAGAACAAAGGGGATCCAGTATGAGATGTATCAGGGAGAAAAGGGGAGGAGAAAGAAGTGCATAATCACTTGGGATCATGAAATTTAGAGCTGGAAGAGGCCTCCAAGAGCCTCTAGTCTGAGAGATCTTAATCTTTTTTGTGATGGACTCTTTTGTCAATCAGTTTGGTGGAACCTATACATCACTTCTTGAAATAATGGGGGCAGGGTTTAAATTCATAATTGAGGGGGATGCTAAATTTCAGTTAGCGATGTGTCAAAATAGAGATGTAATTTTTTCCCCATTCAAGTCAAAGATCCCTTAAAACCTGTCCCTGGATCCTTTGGAGGTCTGTGGACTCAGATTCTTAACCTGATCTAATCCAACCTCTTCCCACCCAATGAACCCCATTTCATAGAGAATGAAACTGGGAATCAGAGAGAGTCCAGGCCAAGATAATATAATAATAAAAGAGATCCTTTCTCAAATTCAATTTCTTCATCTGTATAATGGGAATAATAGGACTTATGTCACAAGGTCACTGTGGATATAAGATGAGATCATGTATGTAATAGAAGCTATCACAACAACCCTGTGAGATACTTATTACAAGTATTACTAGCCCATTTTAGAAATGAGGAAACTGAGGCTCAGAAAGGTTGAATGATTTGTCTGAAGTCAATTCATCCCAATACAATGTCCCCCATGGAAAATGTTTAATCACAAATTGGCATCTGTAAATCAGCCAGAACAGTTGCAGAGAGTTTCTCTCCCTGAAATTGCCTGTAAGGCCCTGGTAAGTATTTAGGGAAGATCAAGTGATTTAGCCAAAGATGGACATCATAAAGAGAGATCTACTATTTGGGGGGAGGGAGTCTTAAAATCATAGCATACAGTGTTTTAATGTTTGCAAAGCACCTTCCTCATAACATTCCTATGACATAACTAGTCCATGTGTTTTTAATTCCATTTCAGAGAAGTTAAATAACCTACCAAGGTCGCACAGCTAGTATATGGTGTCAGAATTATCATTATCATTTAATATTATATGTGCATGTAATATATAAATATGTGTATATGTTGTATACATGCATGTATGTATCAACCTGTATGTAAACATAGCTATATATGCATATATCACGTATATGTATGTACATATAATTTGTACATTACATACTATATAATATAGGTATAATATTTTGTGTAGTATATATCACATATAATATCACAACATGTTACATAATAGATTATAGTATGTTTAATATAATGTGTAATGATATATTATATATAATATATGATTAAAATAACAATGAACATCTATATAGCCCTTAAAGATTTGCAAAACACCCTACAAATATTATTTTGTTTGATTCCCCATAACAACTTTAGAGGTAGATGCTATTATGATCTTATTTTACAGATGAGGAAACTGAGGCAGACAAAGATGTGACTTACCCAGGGTACCTGAGTCAGAACTTCCTAACTCCAAAGTTCAGGGTTCTATCTACTGCACCACTTTGCTGCCACTGAAGCTGGACTTGAGCTCTGGTCTCCAAACTATAAGTCTAATGCTTTTCCTACTGTACCATAAGGTGCATTCATAAAAGTAACATAAAGGATTATGGATAATCTATTCTTGTTACTGATTTTTATTCGGGTGGAGGGAAAAGAGGAACATTCTTACCAACATACCCATCCATTAGTGTGAATAACTGTGAGTTAAATGTATCCCCCATCCCCATCCCCTTCACCCCCAGACCTTCCCTTCCACACAGGACATACCCACACCCACACACCCACACACACCCACACACACACACACACACACAGACACGCACACACAGACCTGGCCAGTTTCTCTTACCTGGGACTAATCCTCTTGGCCACTACAATGATGTCACTGACACTGGCAGAAGTCTTCATCTTTGCCCCTGAGCCCATTGTCATGGCAACAAGCTTTTCTGTCAGAGTATGGCAGATCTGATGGAGAGTGAAGGTGGGCAGTTACAAAATGACAATGATTTGCCCTTCTCAAGGCTCTCTGTCTTCCTTTGGGGGAGCAAATGCAGACCCAGGCTAGTTCTCTAACCCCTAGCTAGGTTTCCTGGTTCATTATCTGTTCCCCAGACTTGGAGTAAGCATGTTACTGGGCAACGGGAAGAAGCAAGTGCAAAGTGAGACGGGGGTGGGGTTGGCAATCAGAGATCAGAGTCGGAATTTTGGATCAAAGAACTCTAATCTGGAATAAAAACACTGAGAAACATCATATGATTGAGTTTCCCCTTAGAGCTTAGTAGGAAAGTCCTCACCGTCATCTTTCTTCCACGGTTTTGCCTTTAGCAGAAGCTTCCCTAAACCCTCCCCCCAACCTTATACTCCCTCAAGACCCGGGCATGACTATTCTATTACCTAATCAACAAAGCCCAAGAACCCAGTCCATGCCTGAATCCCTCTCCTCACCTCCATCCCAGAGCTGGGGAGTTGAAAGGGACGAGCAAAAAACTATGATCTTAGATCTATCAGTAGAAAAACCCTTCTTCTAATCTGATGCTCTCATTTTACAGATGAGAAAATTGAGGCCCAGAGAGGTTAATTAATATACTCAAGGTCACACAGGCAGTTGGTGACAGAGCAGGGATCATAGATTTAGAGTGGGAAGAACCCTCAGAGGCCATCTAACCCAACCCTCTTTTTTTATAGGTGAGGAAACTGAGGTCTAGGGAAGTAAGGTGACTTGCACAAGGTCACATAGGTGATCATTTCCAGAGGTGGGATTCAAATCTAGGTCTGCTGTATCCAGAGTCACTCTGCCATGCTATATCTCAGAGGTTTAGAAGAGAGCAGATCTTTTTCTTTATAAGGGCAAATGGATGGCACAATGCATGATGGAGGGGAGGAGATGGACCTGGGGTCATTTTTATCAATTCCAGTCATGTTCAGCCCATTCTATGCAGAACCATTCCCCACCCTCCACCCCAAAGCACTGAATGTATCCTTTGAGAGAGCCAGACAAAGGTCCTGCCCCAGGCTATACCCCATGGATGGCACGCAGGTCATTACGGTCAGGATCTGCTAATGAGAAATGATTACCTTCAGAATAGCAATGCAATGAGATACGAGACCCCTGGAGAAAAAAGAGCTTGTCAGTGACTGAGAGAGAAGCCATCCTCCCTTCTCCCTCCCTGCAGGTACCCCTACCTCCTCTGCCTCTGACCCAAGGATGGGGTTTCCAGCCAGATTTCCCTTATCAGCAATTTTTTGCTGTTGTTTCGTCATTTTTCAGGTGTGTCTGACTCTTTGTGACCCCATTTGGGGTTTTCTTGGCAAAGACACTGGAGTGGTTTGCCATTTCCTTCTCCAGCTCGTTTGACAGATGGAGAAACTGAGGCAAGTGGGGTTAAGTGACTTGCCCAGTATCACATATCTAGTAAGTACATGAAGCCAGATTTGAACTTAGGAAGAAGAGTCTTCCTGAATCTAGGCCTGGCATTCTATCCACTGCACCACCTAGCTGCCCTTATCAGCAATAATCCCATGTAATCAAAATGGAGTAAGTTCATTGACCAAGGTCAGGTGGTCTTATCTATGGAAGCTTCTCCCAACCGCCCCATCGTAATACCTCCCAGAAATCCAGGCTCTCTCCTCTGAGCTTCTAAAGTCTCTTCCCTTTTATTATTATTATCATCATCACTAATGTTTATATAGTGCTCACTATGTACCAGGCATTGTGCTAAGCACTTCAGAATTATCTCATTTAGTCCTCACAACAACCCTGGGAGGTTGGTGTTATTGCTGTCTTCATTTTACAGATGAGGAAACTGAGGCCAACAGAGATTAAATGACTTGCCCAAGGTCACACAGCTAATGAGTGTCAGACGTGGGACTGGAACACAGGTCCTCTGACTCCAAAGCCAGTACTCTCTTTCTACTCCTGTTTCCCACCAATAATAACGATTACCATTTCTACAGCATTTTAAGGTTTATGAAGTATTTTCCAAAAAACTCTATCAAGTAGGTAGTACATGCATTATTACTTCCATGGGGTGGGGGGTATAAAAAAGGAAAATGAGGCTCAATTAGTTTAAGTGCTTTGCCCAGAAGCACATGACTAGAACTTACTAAAGCCCTGATTAGAAGCTTTCCTGATTCCAAGTTCTATAACAAAGTGATGGGGTGCTAGTCAAAAAGTAGGGCTCCTGGTGGATGAAAAGTTTCTAGGATTTGGAGCTGGGCATTATCTTTTAAAATATCTAATCCAATGCCCTCATTTTACAAATGAGGAAGCAGAAGGCCAGAGTTACAGGAGCCCACCCCAGAGGGTAAGGAAGTTAACCTTTGGAGAACCTAATGGGAAAAGCTGCCTTACGAAGCATCCTCAATCCAATCTTCATTCTCTAGAATGGCCTCGATGTGGGGGTTGGTAATGACAACGTCGTCCAGTTCCAACTCAGAAGGTTCTGATTGGGTCTCCATAGCACCGATTAGGTCCACGATTGGTCTACAAGGAAAGGGCATAGTTAAATGGCTTAGGGGGGGGTTCACGTTGACCACCTCCAAGAGAGGGAACAATTTATCCAAAGGATGAAGGAAACAGGTGAGGAGGACAGAAAAAGAAAGCCTTAGTCCTAGATCTGGTTATCCCACTGAGTATAAGACATCAGGGCAGGCTTCACACTTTGGATGGAACTTTCCTGCTGGGCAATGATTGGAGGAGGCCAGAGATTTAAAAAAAAACAAAAACAAAACCCTGAGACCCATACACCCACAGTCAGTCCAAAAGTCTTCACCATTCCCAAGACAAATCAGGTAGGATTGTGCACCACCATCAAATGGCTCATGGTCCATAATGTTCTGCTACCCACCTCCTGCCTTTCCCCATTCCTCCTGGCCTCTCCTTGAATTCTCTAGAACCACTTTCACATTCATCTAACCCTGCCCTCAAAATTGTCATCGTAAATACTTACCCCACCATTTTGCCCCAGTCCTTCTCTGTCTATCTCAACCCTAGAAATATACATCCCATTAGGAGTCACTATATGGAATGAGTCTCATTACAAGGAAGCCCAAGAATCAACCCACATTCTTTCAGTAAAACAGGCATGTTATCCTTAATATAGAAGCGAAATCTGATTTAAACACACAGATTAGTGAGTATTTGTTTGACATAAAGATTCCCTGCCTATGGACTCAAAGGAGTTGGGTTCAAATTCTACCTCTGACACTTATTACCTGTTTAACCATAGGCAAGTTAATTCAGTTTCCTCATGTGTAAAACTAGATGGCTTCTGTAATTCTTTCTAGCTTCAGATCTGAGATCCTGTGATAAACATTTCTTTTGTTTTTGTTTTTGTTTTTTTTAGGCAATTGGGGTTAAGTGACTTGCCCAGGGTCACACAGCTAGTAAGTGTCAAGTGTCAGGTCTGAGGCTGAATTTGAACTCAGGTCCTCCTGACTTCAGGGCCGGTGTTCTATCCACTGTGCCACCTAGCTGCCCCCAATAAATATTTCTTAAATAGTAGGGTTCTTAAATAGTAGGGTGGGGAACCTAAGTCCTTGAGGCCACATGTGGCCCTCTAGGGCCTCAAGTACTGCCCTTTGAATCCAAATTTCACAGAACAAATCCCCTTAATAAAAGGATTTGTTGGGGCAGCAAGATGTTGCAGTGGATAAAGCTCTGGCCTTGGAGTCAGGAAAACCTGAGTTCAAATCTAACCTCAGACACTTGACACTTACTAGCTGTGTGACCCTGGGCAAGTCACTTAACCCCAGTTGCCTCACCAAAAAAAAAAAAAAAAAAAAGGATTTGCTCTGTAAAACTTGGACTCAGTCAAAAGGCCCCACCCAAGGACCTAGAAGGCCACTCTTGCTAGTACATTTAAGTATTTGTTTATGAATTAGGGGAGGGCACCATAGTGCATAGAGCACTGGGCTTGGAGTCAAGATGCCTCATCTTCCTGAGTTCAAATCTGGCCTCAGACACTTACTAGCTGTATTTGCCTCAGTTTCCTCATCTGTAAAATGAGCTGGAGAAGGAAATGACAAACCATATCCTTGCCAAGAAAACCCCAAATGGCATCGTGAAGACTTGATTGAATTATAAATTAGGAACCAATAGTACAAGAGGCTGGAAGAAAGGGGATTCACAGGTGTATGCTGATAAATGTTTAACAACTGGCTCTCCAGAAAAAAAAAATGTACATGACATTTTAAAATTTAATCTGCATTATTAACATTTTCTCCTTCACTTTCTTAAGTCTAAAGAATCAAAAAACAATAAATCAAATCCTGATTTATTTAATCACCTTTGCTGATTTCCAAGGTGTAAATTCTCACACTGAAACTAACAATCAGGGCAGCTAGGTAGTGCAATGGATAGAGCTCCAGCCTTGGAGTCAGGAGGACCTGCATTCAAATGTGGCCTCAGACACTTGACACTTAAATAGACACTTAATTAATGTGATCCTGGGCAAGTCACTTAACCCTGATTGCCTCACCAAAAAGAAAAGGAAAAAAAAGAAATTGTAACAATCCACTCCAGCACACCCCTGGGGACTGGTCCTGTGAATGGAACTTAGAACTGAGAAAGTAGGAGCCACCGTGACTGGGAAATCTTCAGAAATGAAGATAAAGCATCACTGATTTAATCGTGTAAGTCAGTTTAAATACGCTTTTTAATGAGCCCTTAATTTGTATAAAGCAGGACATTGGGAATTTGCTGCACTGGGCAGAACTTGCTTCAAGTGATCCATTAGCCAAGGTTCCAACATCTTATTTGTCTAATGAAGATTCTGCCATAGTATGTTTTGTTTCAACAGGGTCCAGTATCTCTGAGGACTTTGCTTGCCGACCTTCCCCCATCCTCATCCCACTGCCACCTTCCCTTCCCTATGGGTTTGGACAAGAGCTGGGTTCACTTGGGTTTTTGATCATGTATGAAAACCTTGGATTGCTAAAAAAAGAAAGAAAAAGAAAGAAGGAAAGAAAGAAAGAAAGAAAGAAAGAAAGAAAGAAAGAAAGAAAGAAAGAAAGAAAGAAAGGAAGGAAGGAAGGAAGAAAGGAAGGAAGAAAGGAAGAAAGGAAGAAAGAAAGGAAGAAAGAAAGGAAGAAAGGAAGAAAGAAAGAAAGAAAGAAAGAAAGAAAGAAAGAAAGAAAGAAAGAAAGAAAGAAAGAAAGGAAGAAAGAAAGAAAGAAAGAAAGAAAGAAAGAAAGGAAGAAAGAAAGGAAGAAAGAAAGGAAGGAAGGAAGGAAGGAAGGAAGGAAGGAAGGAAGGAAGGAAGAAAGAAAGAAAGAAAGAAAGAAAAAAAGAAAGAAAGAAAGATCCTAGATCTGAAACTGCAAGGAACCTCAGAAGCCACCTAATTCAACCCCTTCATTCTACAGATGAAGAAACTGAGGCCCAGAGAGGGAATAAGATCATAGATAAAGAGTCAGAAGAAACCTCAGAAGCCATCTAGTCTAATTTACAGATAAGGAAATTGAGGCTCAAGGAGGTTGTATGACTTGCCCAGAGTCACACAGGTAGTAAATTATCAGGGGTGTGATTTGAACCCAGGTCCTCTGATTCTCGGCATATATCTTTAATCAGTATAGATTGTCATCATGAATCATATCCCAGAAAACCCAGTTTCATAACACTTTCAAACATACAACTCTGGGCTGGATAGACCCAACATGATGTTTCTTAAGTGTGTATTTCTTCTTCCGGGAGCCAAGAGGTATCCTAATTTGTGTGACCTTGAGCCATTCACTGAATGTCTGAGACTCAGTTTCCTCTTCTGTAACATGACAGGGTTGAACTAGCTGGTTTCTGAGGTCTCTTCCCACTCTGCATCTCTGATCCTTCTCCCCTCCCTTCAGGGCACTCACTTGGAGTCATAGTGCTGGAGCAGGTCTCGGGGCCGACAGTAGCGCTGTCTGCAAACCACAACCAATGCCACAAAGGAGGCCAAAAAAATGGTGGCCAGCACACCAATGGCGACGATCACAACGGTTTCCATGATTGCAAGTTGCACGTCCTAGATCCAGTTACATCCCAGGACTCCCCTAAAACATGTTAGGTCTCTGAAATCAAATAACAGCAAATGAAAAGTCAGAGCACAAACTTTAAATCCAAGGGTAAGTAAAAAAACGAGTTATCATACAAAGTATATGCCCATTGACTATGAAATGGCTAAGGAAAAAAATAAACAAATAAAAAATTTTTTTTAAATAAAATAAATTAAAAGAAAAAGAAAATAAATTAAATAAAAAGAAATGGCTAAGGAAATGTTCATATAGAAGACAGATTTGTGGTGCTAGGGGTGGAGTTAGGAAGATCTAAGTTCAAATTAAGCCTCACATACTTACTAACTGTGTGACTCTGGACAAGTCATTTAACCTCTCTGTGCTTTGGTTCTCTCATCTACAAAATGGGGATAATAATAGTTCCTGCCTCCCAGGGTTGTTATGAGGATCAAATGAAATAATGAGTATAAAATACTTTGCAACCTTAATAAATATGTAAATGCTAGCAACGATTATTTTTTTTGGTGAGGCAATTGGGGTTAAGTGACTTGCCCAGGGTCACACAGCTACTAAGTGTCAAGTGTCTTGTCTGAGACTGGATTTGAACTCAGGTCCTCCTGACTCCAGGGCCAGTGCTCTATCCACTGCACCACCTAGCTGCCCTTATTTTTTAAAACTTTAAAAAATTAATTTATGGAATAAAACAAGCATTTCCATAGCATAGTATAATAATAAAAAAATGATTGCACATGAAACTGCAAATCTATTATGTACAACTTGCTATTCCTTTTAAATATATAATAAAGTTATCATGTAAATTTATTTTTTTCTTCCCTCCCCCCCACCCTAGAGATAGCTACCATTAGGCACAAACAGATATTTATATGTAAAATTATTCTATACAGATTTCTATTTATCAGTTCTTTCTCTGGAGTGCAATGGCATCATAAGAAGCAATGGAAATGAAAACTTCAGAGAAGCGTGAGGAGTTATATGAACTTCTGCAGAGTCAAGAATGCATAACCAGGGAAATAAATATACAATTATTAAAATAACATGAACCAAAAGAACAAAAAACCCTGAAACTTAGCATTGTATAATTACAACCGCTGAGCTTGGTCCTGGGAGAAAGGTTGAAAAAAAATGCACTTTCCTCTCTTCATTACAGAAGTGGGAGACTTCGGATGTGTACTGTTCTACACACTATCAGAGACAGTTAACAGCCTGGGTTAGTTTTGCTGAAATGCTTTTTTTACCTTTTTCTATTTTAATATGTTACAAGGTATGGCAGGAAGGGTTAGGGAGGGAGTAGAGAAAAGCTACATTCTTAAATAGAAGGGATATAAAAACAAAAGGCAATAAAACAAGGTTTAAAAACATTTTTAAAGAAAGTTACAATGTTTCTGGGCTCCAGAAAAGAATGTGCTGGCTAAGTCATGCTTCCTGGAACTTAGCACCATGGCGCTCACATATTGCCAGCCCACCCCCTTCAGGTCTAGATTCAGTTTTATCAATCTAAGCATCTCTTTAAAAAAAAAAAAACACCCAGAGCCTGGGAAAGCAGAGTGTTTACTATAGGCCAGGGTCAAAATCTGGCTTATTCCTTCACTAACAAGTGTTCTTCCCCTACTTGAACTAGGTTGACCTGTCAAGCTTCTAATGGAAACTTTATTTGTAGCAACACTGTTATCACTTCTAAATGAACACATGGGAAAGTATGCCTGTTACCAAGAGCTGAAATTGACAACACCAAGAGCTGAAATTGACAACACCAAGAGCTGAAATTGACAATTGCATATGGTCAGTTTCCACTGAGGTACCCTGCCCCTCAGATCTAACCTCTTTCTGTTGTATGGGGAAAGATTTAAAAATTGCACAAAGTGGTAATAATATCTGGTTTTGATGTTAGTATCATGGAAGTCATTGGAGTTGGAGTCAGGGCTTGGGTTCAAATTTTTAGTTGTCGGTTATTCTATTTGCCTAGACAAGTCACTTCACCACTGGGCCTCAGTTTCTCTTTTTGTAAAATGAGAGGATTGGACTAGATGAGCTCTAAGCTCCCTTCCAGTCTTAGAAGTATGAGTGTGAATCAGAAAATCAAAGAGTTTGGTCAGTCTTGCAAGGCTTACAACACAAGACAGACTAAGCCTGGTACAGTAACAAAAAATACTAACTCTGAACTCAGAGGACCTGGGTTCAAATGCCCTCTGGTTCTTACTACCTGTGTGACCTTGGACAAGTCACAGTCTTCCTGGGCCTTGGTTTTCTCATCTGCAAATTAGGACTAGATGGCCTCTAAGGTCTGTCCTTTCAAGTGATCAATGAGCCTTTACAAACATAAGGTTTCCCAGAGGACCCTATCCTGTGCTCCACTGGTACCCAAGGAATATTTTTAAAAGACCCAAAGGCAGGTTTTTATGGCATTTCTGCAGACGATCTGTAGGAGCAGAATTGTATAAGACTAATACATACCAAGGACAGCTAGGTGGCACAGTGGAAAAAGTGCCAGGACTTGAGTCAGGAAAGACTAATCTTCCTGAGTTCAAATCTGGCCTCAGACACTATCTGTGTGACCCTGGGCAAGTCACTTCACCCTGTTTGCCTCAGTTTCTTCATCTGTCAAATGAGCTAGAAAAGGAAATTATAAATCACTCTAGTATTTCTGCCAAGAAAACCCCAAATGGGGTCACAAAAAGTTGGACAAAATTGAAAAATGACTGAACAAAAACAATACATGTTAAACAATTAGCCCACGTGGCAGGAAAAAAATCAAACTGAAAACATCACTGACTCCTTTGACTGATCCTTGTATGGTACGGTCTTGGGGACATTTATCCTTCTGGTCACCACCCTCCAGTATGTTGATATCCTTCCTAAAAATGGAGTGTGTAGAACTTGGACATTGATTAATGAATAATTTTCCAGGTGTGTTCTGACTAGGATGAAGTACTCACACCCTGCATCCTAAGGTACCTTCCATCTCTGACATTCCATGTTCTAAGATCTTTTCTATCTTTGCCATTCCATGTTCTAATGTCCTTTGTAGCTCCAAGACTCTATGTTCTAATATCCCTTCAGATTCTGATGTTCTCTATTTCAAGGTCTCTTCCAGCTCTGTCCTCTCTGCTCTAACATTGCTTCCAGTTCTGACATCCTCTGGTCTAAAGTCTCTTCCCACATTCTGTGATCTCTTCCATTATTAACATCCTATGTTCTCAGGCAGCTAGCTAGATGGTATAGTGGATAGATCCATGAGCCTGAAGTCTGGAAGACCCAAGTTCAAATCCAACCTCAGACACTTACTAGCTGTTTGACTCTTGCCAAGACACTTCATCTCTGTCTACCTCAGTTCCAAACTATAAAATGGGAATAATAATATCACCTACCTTCCTGGTTGTTGTAAGGACCAAATGAGATCATATTTGTGTGTGGCACATAGTAAGTGCTTAATAAATGTTTGTTTCCTTTCCCCACTTCTTCCAGTTCTAACATTCTGTATTCTATGGTCCTTTCCATCACTGACATTCTTTGTTCTAAGGTCTCTTTCAGTTCTAACACTGTTTTAAGGTTTCTTCCAGTTCTAACATTTTGTGTTCTACGGTCTCTTTCATTTTTAACATTCTGTGTTGTAAGAATTCTTGCAGCTTTAACATTCAGTGTTCTGAGATCTCTTCTAATTCTGACATATATTCTATAGGTCCTTCCAACTCTAACATTCTATACTTCTATAATTCGTGATGATTACAGGATCCACAGGGAAAGCAGAAAAAGAGAAGAAAATATGAGAAGGCATAAGAAGGTAGAAGGAAAGAAAAGGAGAGAAAGGAGATGAAATCCATACTGTTAGGAATACTGGTGAGAAGCCTCAGATAGCCCCTAAGTGGCTGGTCTTTTGCTGATCCTGCTTGATACCCTGAGAGCAGGAGAAAAAGTCAAAACTTACGGACTTGTTTCTTCATGCCAAAGGACCATACATTTGTCCATGAACAAAAGCAAAACACAAAACCAGATGCTGAGGAGACACAGGAGAAAAGGGGGCAACAGACATTGCTTCAAGCCGGGAATTCAAGCTTGATCTCCTGGTCTTGAGGGCAATAAAATTTCATCCTTCCCCAGTGCATTTTCATTCTTAGCTTGTTTCTCTGTGCAAGCCCCTCCCCTGTCTGGGTCTGTTTGTTCCTCTATAAACCAAAGAGTTTCTACTAATAATAGCTAACATTAATATAACACTTTAAGGTTTACAAAGCATTTCACTGATGTTATCTCATCTGATTCTCACAACAATGCTGTGAGGTAGGTGTTATAATTATCCCTGTTTTACAGGCCAGAAAATGAAGGCACAAATTGGTTAAATGATTTGCTTAGGGTCACATAGCTAGTAAGTGCATGAGGTCAATTTCCAACTCATGTCTTTCTGGTTCCATTTGGGTCCAAATGTTCTATCCCCTATGCTTCCTGATTTAAATGTCTTTCTAGCCCCTGTGAGTCACTGAAAGTGACCATTCCATAGCTGTACTCAACTTTTTGTGCTCTACTCTGGGTGGGCCAGATGCCACCAATTCCCACCCCACCCCCACACTTCAGCTAAATCTGTCAATTTCTAACACCCAAATAGCCCACAATCTCAAAAAGCCTCATCCTGGTTGGGGAAGGAGGGTTCTCCATGGCATGGAAGAGCAGACCAAATGCCCATTGCAATCTCTCCTCTCTGTCTCTCTCTCTCTCTGTCTGTCTCTCTCTCTGTCTCTCTCTCTGTCTCTCTCTCTCTCTCTCTCTCTCTCTCTCTCTCTGTCTCTTTGTCATTCTCCTTCTCCACCCCCACCCCGCCCACCCCACTTTGGAATTTTTTTTTTAAGCAAAAATAAAACATCCCTGGCCATCTGTCTTTCTTTCCAGGGCACACATAAGACTCAGAGGGCCTCAGGAAGAATGGGAGAAGTGGGTAGTCGTAGAGTGCCCAGACCACTTTAGGCACCACAGCCTAGAATGTCTAGCACCTAAATCAAATCACAGCCAAGGGACCTCTACTCAGAACCCCCCACCCATTCCCTGGCCTCCCCAGGGAAGTTTCTAGCTTAACACAGAACTTTCTTTCCCAGATTGGTTCTTTAAGAGCCGCTGTGGGATCGGAATGTGAGTTATTCGCATGGTGCCTGGCATGGAACGGTCGGAGCGATCCAGCCAACCGGCCAATCTTCCCCTCCCCCCAAGGAAGCTGGAGGAGGAGCCCTCCCCAGTCTTCACTACCAGCAGCCCCAGCCAGAGCCTCACACAAAAGGTGCTCGCCTCTGCAAAGTTCCCTGAACAAGTCCCTTTCATCAAAGTCCATGGTGAGGGCGGAAAAGTTGAGGTGGCCCTCTCCAGCCAGGGGCTGGGACAGACACAGATGAGGTGAGCCTTACCCCGATCCTGCAGGCTCCCAGACACATTCCTGGCTCTTCTGTTAGAGAGTAAAAGTGAACAGGCTCCAAACTGACGCCAGACTGATTAGAAAAGTCGGCTGTGAGCTTTGCTCCCCGCAGCAGCTCCCCAAGAGAGCAGGGCATGCTGGGAAGTAAGCTTAGTTGACAGAAGGAATCATGATAAATTCCCAAGACTAAAGCAAAGCTCCTGGGGATAAGGTTGGAGGCCCATGAAGGGGGTTAGCAAAGACTCCATGGGATCATAGATTTAGAATTGGAAGGATCTTGGAAGCTATCACTTCCAACCCCCTCATTTTACAGGAAACTGAGACACAAAGAGGGACTTGCCCAGGGACACACAGCTAACATCTGAGATATGGTATGAACTCATGCCCTTCTGATCCTAAGTCCAGGGCTCTATCCACTATGGCCTGGGCAGGGGATCTGCAACATCTCTGCCATGCCCCTGTTACCAGAGACCCCTGCCACCATCTCTGCCCGAGTGTGAATAGGTACTGGGAATATGAAGGAACAAATTACATTTTTGAGCTGCATAGTCAGGAAGAACTAAGGAGGAAATGAGCAATTCTAATACTAATACTAATTCAGAGCCCTAAATGACCTGGGGAAAGCAGCAATGAAAACTGGTCTTCTAAGTAAAGATGAAAGGAATTGGGCTCTTTAGCCTAGAGAGGGGAAGGCTGAGGGCTGAACTGACTAACTTGATGACTCTCTGAAAGTCTGTGAAGGCTTAGGACGAGGATACTGGAAAGACGGGATCCATGTTTGAGACAAAATAAGGGGAAATGAACTGAAATTCACACAAAGCTCCTCGAGTCAAATCATACCCTGAATGGGTATGTTCAGGAACATCTACCAGCAAACACTCTAACTGCTGGGAAAACTGTGATAGTAAAAGGTAAGGAATAGAAAACAGGAGACAAAGGCAAGATCTGGAAAAAAGGCTGGAAGGAGAAGGAATGAGCCTGGGTCAGTATTGGAGAAAGCTTGATCTCTATTTTCACTGAGTAGAGTCTCCAACAAGTCATCTTGAGATAGCTAACGGCAACTGGACCATGAGGCATGTTACTGTTCCCTGGGGAACAATGAGAGAGGTTCAGTGGATGGAGCAGTGAAGACTTGGGAGTCAAGAAGACCTGAGTTCAAATCCTGCCTCAGACACTTGCTAGTTGTATGACCCTGGAGAGGTCCTTAATCTTTCCGTACCTCAGTTTCCTCATCTCTAGAATGAAGGGGTTTAATTTTCACTTGACAGTCTCTATGGCCAATGATCCTACATTCCACATCCCAAGGAGAGCAGGATTTGAATTCAGGTCTTCCTGACTCCAGGCCCAGTGCTCCATCCTTTGCACCACCTCAATATATAGCCTGTAGGGATCCTTATGTATGGATGTTTTTGTGAGAGTAGGAAGCAAGAAAATATTGCTGGTCTGAGCCACTGGACATTCTATAATAACTGTGGGAAGAGTACCGTACTCTGGGGAAAGTGTCTTATTCTGGAGCTCAAATCACTCCCTGGAAGGCTCAGACATGAGATCCAAAAAGAATGTTAAATATTCTCCTAATCCAACCATTCCCTTCAAGACAGTGGAGGTAGAACCCAGGGCCAGGAGAGATGGTTGTAGGCCTCCCTCCCCTGGAGACTTGTGGAGAGGCACTATAGCATAGTGGAAACCACTGGACTTGGAGTCAGGAAGACATGGGTTCAAATCTAACCTGTGACACTTATTAACAAAGTGACTATGGGAGGTGCTTAACCTCTCTGAGACTTACCTAAGAAGCTAAAATAACCTGTATTACTGACTCCAGAAACAGCGAGGCATAATGAATAGAACCAGCTCTAGAGGTAAGAATACCTGGGTTCAAATCCCATCTCATATTCTAAGTAACCGTAGAGAAGGTATTTAAACTCCCCAGGCCTCAGTTTTCTCACCTGTAATATGAAGGAGTTGGACTCAATGGCCTGGCCCTACATAGCTATACAACCATTGGCAATTCACTCAGACTCTCAGTATCCCAAGCCTGCCCTGAGATTAAACCAGTTAGTTGGTCAATAAAGTCAGTCTATAAACATCTATTAAGTGTCTACTATGTGTCAGGCACTGTGATAAGTGCTGGAGGTACAAAAAGAAGCAAAAGACAATCTCAGCCCTCAAGGAGCTTGCAATCCAATAGAAGAGAAAAGCAAATGACTATGTACAAACAAGCTACATACAAGATAAATTGGAAATCATCAACAGCAGAAAGGCTGTTCTGCATTGGGGGAGGGGGGAGTTTTTACACTAAGTTGCATATACCAGGGGGGTCAAACTCAAATAGAAAAAGGAGTCACTAAACCATACATAAGGATCCCTACAGGCTATATATTAAGGTGGTGCAAAGGATGGAGCACTGGGCCTGGAGTCAGGAAGACCTGAATTCAAATCCTGCCTCAGATACTTACTAGCTGTGTGACCCTGGGCAAGTCACTTAACCCTGTTTGCCTCAATTTCCTCATCTGTAAAATGAGCTGGAGGAGAAAATGGCAAAAACCACTCCAGTATCTTTGCCAAGAAAACCCCGAAAGTGATCACAAAGAGTCATGTGAAAATGACTAAACGACAACAAAATTTTTCAAATGTAATATTATCTGTTTTATTCTACTTTCATTTATTTTGCTAACTTTTTCTCAATTACATTTTAATCTGATTTTAGCTACATTCAGAAGCATTGTGGGCCACATTCGGTCCATCGGCTTCATGTTTGACATCTATGTCCTATAGGCTACATATCCCTCCCCCCCAAAAAAAACCTATTTATGTCACTTATTGAACAAATAATTTAATCTCTCTGAGTCTCAGTTTCCTCATCTCTAAAATGTAGGGGTTGGACCAGATGATTCTAACATTCTTTCCAGCTCCAGATCTATGATCTCATGACATCACAGGGTTTTTTCGGGGTTCAAATGAGAGAAGGAGTGTGGAGCCCTTTGAAACCTTTAGAGTACTACCCAAGTGCTGGCTGTTATCATAGTGGATCCCCTACCTTCCCCAACCTGCTGGGCAAAGTCTTTAAAACCAACAGAAATCTCTCTTGTTTTAAGTTAGGAACTTGGGGCAGGGACTCTTAATCTTTTGGGTGTCATGAATTCCTTTGGCAGTCCAGTGACACCTATGGTTCCATTCTCAGAATAATGTTTTTAAAGACAGAATAAAATGCACAAGATTACAAAGGAAACCAATTATTAGTGAAAATAAAGATGAAATTATTTCCCATCCAAGTTCACAGACCCACCCCACTGCGGGGGGGGGGGGGGGGGGGGGGGGAGAACTACAGATCCCTTGGACACCTGTTAAGAATCTCTAGTTTAGGAGGTTCTAAGCAGAAGAGAGAGAACAAAAATTATTATTAAAATAACAATAAAGAGTTTTAAAACTTGTAAAGCACATTATGTGCATAATTTCACTTGATTCTTACCAAAAAACTGCTGTTCTATAAGGGCTATTATTATCGTTATTTTATCAATGAGGGAACTGAAACTCAGATAGTTTAAGGGACTTGTCCAGAGTCTCTGAGGCAGCACTCTAAGTGTCTGAGTAAGGATTTAGACCTGGGTTATTCTGACTCAATGCCAGCTTCTCTATTCACTTCACCAAGCTGCAAAATGTTATCTGATCCTGGATACTAGAAACATTTCCATGATCAGAAGAAAGAAAAATCCTTTGACTTTCAACTTAGAGCCCAACCCATAGGATCCATTTCACTCCCACCACCACCGCCCACAAGTAGGCTCCTTAAGACTTTCCCATCAATGCCCTGGGCAGGCCCAAAGGAGGGGGGAGGAGGGTATATACACCTTGATCCTCATAGATCTCTAACCCCTTACTCGTCAGCCAAGACCCTGTTCTCCAAGTTCAAACCCATCACAATGAAGCACAGAGGACTGGGGAAGGCCCGGGGCTCTCCATGAAGCTAGAAGAGCTCTCCGACATAACTCCGTTGTCCCAGGAGTCAGTTCTCTCACCTTGACCCACCCCGGTGTTGATATTTCCCAGACTAACACTCCATGACCCATTTAGCCATCCCATACTTGAACTTTCAAACAGGACTCACTGGCCTCTTAAAGGGCCATTGTAAACGGCAGCGCTAGATAGCAGGTATTTAGCCCATGCAGTCCAGGTAACTTAACTTCCTGCAAAGAGCTTCTATGCAAAGGGATACTTCATTTCCTTGTCCCAAAGCCAAGTCCAGACTTTAAAGTGCTCGGTAGAATTTGAGAAGAAACCTCAGGGATTCTCATCAAGCTGGGCCAGCTTCTAGTCCAGAGTACCTCCAAGATTCTCATCTTTAAGCCTGCCGATTGAGTCCTGGAGGAGCCCAGTTCCCTCCAAGTGCCCTACAGCCATTACCCCAGACCCAAGCAGACAAAAACCCAGTGAGACATCAGAACCACATCTATACGGGAGCCCACCTACTCTCTGGTTCTAACCAAAGCAGATATCCAAGGGCATGATTGTAGTCCTTATCCCAAGAGAACATTTGGGATCCCTCTCAGTAATTTAAGTTGCAAGGTATGAGCCAAGGCAATGGTATTATACTCATATGGAAATGAGGGTCCATTAACTTTTATATAAAAATCTTTTCAGGCTGCATATTTACTTAGAAAACCACGTATTAACATTATCTATATTATATTTTTCATTTATTATCTTCATTTTACAGATGAGGAAACTGAAGCTAAGTTTAAGTGACTTGTCCAAGGTATCTGAGACAACAGATGGTACTATAAGTGTTTGAGTCAGGATTTAGACCTGGGTTTTTCTGACTTCAACTCCAATGTGGACTCTAACATGGATGCTAGAAGAATTTCCATGATCAGAACAAAGAAAAATCTTTTAGATTTCTGCTCTACAGCCCAACCCACAGGATTCATTTCATCACCACCATCACCACCTACAAGCAAACTCCTTGAGACTTTCCAATCAATGCCTCTATGGGAACTTCCAAATTGGAGGATGGGGGGCATCACAAAAGGTGCATTCATTGTTAAACATTTCCCAATTACATTTTAATCTGGTCCAGGCAAGGAGACCTCTGGGCTAAGGCATTAATAGTCTAG